TTATGTTTCTGTATTTATATTTACCTTAAGTAAATGACTTCGTTATAGAGATATATAAATCCCCTCACAACAGCTATTCAGCTTAGAACAAACGTTTCCCTACAAATCAACAACTTTCAAAGTATGAATTTGAACTCCTTCATTCCTGACTTCTAGTTCTACTGGTTTGGAATCTTTTGATTATAAAAGTGTTACAGACATAAGCGCTATCCAATCCACAACAACGGTGGTATTCTGAATGGTGAAAGCGATTTGATCTGTTACAACAAACAATGATTTGTTATTCTGTTTAATGTTGTAAAACACTTTTCTGCGACTTCACGATATTGTGTAGTTTTTCGATCATGTTTCGCTGTTGCCCCAAGATCGTCGTGAGCTCGAACTAAGAGCACTGACCGTTCTCCCAAGGTCAATTTATTTACCTGAGCAATGGAATTTACCTACCAGAGACGATTGATGTTAACCGACTTTTTCGAATGGCAACGTCACCTAAGTTTGGTGTGTTGCGATAATTAGAAGTTTTGAATTATTGTGTGAACTAGGAATCCCCAAAATAACGCGATTCAGGGCAAAGAGAACTAGATGAACACAAACGAACTTATTGTATATAAAATCCGAAATCAGGTGGATATCGAGTACAAAAGAATCAATGGTTCATGAGAACACATGTGTCTACCACGTAATTGAGGTTCACCATTTCATTTAGTAAGTTGAAAAGTTTTGCTGTACACCAATAATTCTATGCAAACTTTTACTTCGCCATGCAGATCTTTTTGAAGATTGCATTTCTCCAGACTTTTACAATGAAAAACCCTTAAGCGTAAGGCTTTTAAAACCGTTCGAGCACCTACTTACATAAGTCTGTTAACCCTTGAAGAAGAGCACAGACCGCCTCGCAATACTCACTCCCCAACTCTGTCCTGTGGAATCCCTTCCCCTTGCTCCAGTCACCTTTTATCCTATTTATGTCTGCATAAAAATCCCCGAGGCAGTGTGTATTTTGGCATTCCTCCTTTCCATCTCCTTTCAGGATTTCAAATTAGCGCTTGCCTCGTGATGCAGTTTGATAATTTACGCAATCTATGTCCTATCCACTTTCAACGTTTTTCCCTAATATGTTTGTTCTCTCTCATAGTTGGCAGTTGCCAATGGTATCTGGCTAACGGACATTGAGTATTTTGCATAGAAAACTGTTCATAAACACTTGTACTCTTTTGATAACGGTTGTAGCAGTTCACCACGTTTCAGCTCCATACAGTAGAACTGTGTTGGCGTTCGAATCTTTCCCTTGTGTGTGTTTAGGCCTATTGATGCAGAGGCTGCTGCTACACCAGTTTTCTCCATCTGCATTTGTCACTATGTATGGAGTAAAACGGCTAGGTACCTGTGAAGTCCAAATCGTGTAGCTGCATCCAAGCTCTCCACTGTATTCCCTGCTTCCCTTCAGATGTGGAGGTCATCAAAATCCGGTCAATCATCGAAAGAAAAAGAAAGAGGGATATTAAGCAGACTTGTCTGACCGTGTATTTTGAAGGCAATCGGTCTGCGTGAATTTTTCAGTTCAAGGTGTTATTCTTCAGCAGAAGTAAATTTACCTCCGATGTGGCGGATTGCCTGAATAATGTGGGAATCAATTTGTTTCTTATTCTTTAATGTCTATGAATGCTCACATCTGATATTGTTTCTGAAAGTAGCTTGCTTATTAAGCATTAAATGAAGCTCTAATCGTATTCAAAAATAACCCACGGTTTCTTTCGGAAGACTCTCTTAGCTTATGAAAAAGACTGACCTGTCTGTGAGGTCCGATTCGACAAGTGATGTGTGGGCAAGAGTGATAATGATTCGTTGTTTCGCTGAGTCAGGCATGTGGATAGTGTGGCAGGTGTTATATATAATACATATTCCCCTATCCTTATTATTTATTGACTGTTCCTTGTTGTTGGATTGCGTCGGATTTTGGTGTGGAAATCTAGTGTAGACATTAGGCTAAGCTAAATTAACGTCCCACATACGCGTAAAAAGCAAAAAGACTGTAATGACAAGAAACCCTAGCGTTATAACAAGTATCCTGCCATTCATAACAACAAGTTGTATCTAATAACCGGGTTCTGGAGATTACTAGAGCCCTCAGCACAGGGGTTTGTTTGGTCACAGAAAAGCTTCGAACGGTACGAAATGACAGTGCGGATCTTTGTAATTCTTTAGCTCGTTGTCTTAATATTAAACGTAATAGCAGGCGCCTTAAAACTCCACAAAGAGTGCTGTCACAAAAAATATCTGTTTGTAAACCGTGATATGCAGATAGCCCGAATTGGTGCTGGTACAACAAGTATGATAATTCTCCTAGAAATTGCAAAGAGCCCTACAGTTTCCTGATTTCCAAACCGTCCGACACGAAGAGCTTTTCGGAAAATTTCCCCACCGGCATTTGCTGGCGGTAACTGTAGCTGATGGACATAACTCTCTGTTATACGTCGTCAATGTGATGAAAGTTCGCTATTTCGTGAACGCTTGCAAAGAACCAACACGAATTATGATGAAATTTAGTAGTTTGGACACATTTAGAAGATTTATCCTGGCAGTTGTCGCAGAAGCAGCGCAAACCCTTGTTAAAGATGGGAAGAACTATCGACTAATTTCAGGATGATCAAACACTTATTGCAGGACCTTTGTAAATAACTCAGTCAGTCCGATGACCAGAAATTCGCCATCATCTTCATAAAGGGCCGGAGGTAGGTCATCTGGGCCTGATGATTGGTAGCGCTTCAATAGTTGGAGTTCCTTGCGGACTTCCACCCCGTTATTTAGATCAGTCGCCACGAGCCATGAAGGGCAGGACAGTCTGATTGATGTTACTGGGGCAGCAAACCAGTCGAAATGCTCCTCGAAAGACTCTACCTACCACCGAAGATACTAGTTATTCGTGTCCTGTCATCTTCACAGATTGCTTCACTCACAGCAGGCTTCTTGATGCCAGTAACTCCGATGGGTTTAAAGAGCTTCCAGCGGTTACTGGACGTAGCTGCTGCTTAAAACTCGTTGGCACACTCCGACCACCAGGCTTCTCGGTCTTTATGCAAGCCCTGCTTACTTACACTGTGTAACAACCTCCGTTTATGGTCAAAGTTGCGGTCACTCGTAGTAGACCAACGTGCCATAATGAGTTGAAACGTTTCTGAAGAAAACCAGTGCTTATAAATGGGTCGTTTCGCGAAGCCACAAGCGACTTTACTTCTCATATCTATGTCGTCATTCAATCGCAACAAATGCTTATCCATTCTTTTCGGTGGCACGGCAGCTAGTCTTGAACCTAGCTCAGATTGAAATTTAGTTGCAACCGATCTGCTTACGTAGATCCGTTTAGGACTATGAGTCCATGAGAGAGATTAGCCCGAACAAGAACATAGAGTCCAGATAAGTCCTCAGAAAAGAGCACCAGTCATGTACACAACCACGCGAGCGTTAAATGATCGCCATGTGGTCAGTTTGAGTCCAGGCTTGAAATGAAGAGGAATGACGACAGGTGGCATATCGACGATGACTGTACTGGTAGTAAGTGCCAGCCAAAAACAGATTGCACTAGACGGTCACCGTTATCTGACCTGCGACCAACAAGTTCCTATCGGCCACCTAAACGATCGGCCTATGTATTCAGATCTCCGGCTAGTGACACAATAACTGTCGAACGCACTTTCTGTAGGACTGTGAACTTATGGCCAGATGCATCCAGGCTGCGATTTATCGGAGCGTAGGCGACGAAGAAAAAACATCGTTTCTTACACCGACTTCTTCGCATTTTGATGGAGCTTCTGAATCTAACAGCAGATAACCGACTGTCAATAGGAATCCAATTGATCTAGCGCTTAGTGCAACATCAATGCTAGCAAAACTAGACGAAAATGCCACAGGGTCTACGGATAAATGGACGTAAAACAGGCTTTTTGAAGAGACAGATTTTGATGTTGGTTTGTTCTCTGAGCTGGAACAAACCAACATCAAAATCACTCACCTGAGCTACAAATCTTCTCTGCCATCTCGAAGTGACAGATGGAAAGCGAATTTGTAGTACTTTACTAGTCTTGAATGCATGTCTCGGATAGACAACAGACGTCGACATTCTAAAGACAGCCGACCCCATATGTTGTCCGATCTGCATGAGTGTACGAACGTTGAAGGAGACCTATTTGTATTGATTAGGTGGTTTCAGGAAGAATGTTCCAGTATTCGTAGTCAGTGGTAGCACTCAAATTCCGACCAGTCAATGACTCGAGTTCGTTTAGACAGGATGGGGTTTCTACCATAGGTGAGTTGCTGTGTAAGTTGAAAAATAAAATGAGCAAAGAGAGAATAGAACGAAGTACATCAGTGATGCAGTGTAGATCTAATACACAGAACGGTGGGACAACGTTGGGAGATGCAGCCACATGATAGCGAGTGACCAACAATAGATTTATGAGCCACATCTGCGTTTAGGATCCTGGAGCCCATGTGAAGCATTGGTTTGGAATCAGGGTTTTTCAACTACCCGAGGTGAACCCGCCGTGTCCACTAACCCGATTAAAACGCCAAACATTAGCTATTTGTTCTCTGAATCTCGTTAACAACACACCCGCTGCGTAAAGGCAGAGAGTTTATACGCTAGACCACGTGAGAGCGGACTTTTTTCACACTCAGCCGAAACAGGGCATTCGCTTTACTAGGAGTAGTAACAGGGTAGACTGCATTCATATAGCATAAAAGTCTCTTTAAACCTAGCACACAAAAATGGTGTCATGCACTGTCCCATCACCCTTGGTAGCACAGTAGAAGCAACTAATCAGTAAAATCAACTTAGGGAGTAAACCGTTTGCGACGTGTAAGGGTGACCCAATCTAATAACCAAAGATCAATTTCGAGAGGAGATAAGATTTAGGTTCCATTAATTGTGATTAAACTAACCCGGTTGGTAGAGAAACCACAGCAAGGCACTGATATGTTTTCTGATAATAAAAAAGAAAGATCTATGATGTAGGCAAAAATATGTTAGACAAAAACTTAAACACATTTACAAACGGCCGACCAAAGCGAAAAAAGGTCCAAGATTTGAGGACTATACATAAACAGAGCAGAACGTCCATTAGAATTAATCTACATGATTCAGGTAATGTACAATAACTTCAAGATAATAAGTCAAATTTTGAAAAATCCAATTCATTTTCTAACAAGTGAGGATGGAAATTTCAGAAGTGACTTTCTTTCAGGTTCAGAGGGGATCCCATAAACAATGACTGATTTTCCAACAAGATGCTTCAGTTTACAAGCAGATGTTGCGTTAAAAATGGACTGTCCTAAAGTTTCACGTGGTTTTGCATCATGTTCGTCATCAGAACCATCTTTACCCAGCCAATTAGTCAGGAATTTTAAAGTAAATCTATCAACGTCCCGATCAGTAACATCCCATAACAATCCGCAAACAAAAGGACTATAAAAGAAATAAAAAACTTAGGTTTAATTGTTATAAAGATGATAAGATATCATTAAAACAAGATGGATATACAGTTATAGCAAAAAAACTTTTTAGAAGAAATAAAACAAACTCATTAGGCTGAATATATTGAGCTAGAGAAAAGTGATCTTCTGTTCTACCCACCAAAACAATAAAAAGGTATGCTACACTTAAATACTACTCACTTATTCTATGGTAGTTGAAATAGTTTCCATAGAATAAAATTGCAAGCTAAACTAAATAATTACACGTATGATACAAAATGTGATTCACATACCATCCAGCAATAAGATGATTAAAGAGTGAAGTATAAGGTTCATGTCTTCCAACGCTGCGAGGTTTACCGGAACTACAGCCAAGAATCAAGGCAACGGAGCGTGCACTGAGACCTTGATTGAAAGTATGAAGTAGAAACTGTGAACCGTTACCATGACCCAGAAATCTGTAAGTAAAATGTGTGTGGGTAAGTAATTAGACAACTGCTGAGAAATATATTGGTAAAAGATAACAAAACAGACTATTGACTAATAATAAAAAAACGATAGGCAGAATATATGAGTGAATTTGTAAGTGTTGATGAACCTACGAAAACAAAAGTTTTACCTGTTTAACGAAAATAATCAACATATACATCATTTTCATGAAAAAACACTATAAAAGGTACTTTCAAACGTACATTAGAAGATCATGATTTGTGAAACCATTGTTCACCTCCTCTACAGTTGGAATCTTTCCAGTGACACCTGTCCAACTGGATAGGTTGCGAAATATCGGTTCAAAGGTTTGTTGAGTAGAGGGTAGGTTGGATTCTGGGTTAAGGATATAAAATGCACGCTCAGGATTAAAAGAACATAATTTCATATGCTCAGCATTGGGAGAAGTGTTAGTCTCAATATTTTGATAAGGCATAAACTGAGTTGCCAAGTGAGCTACAACTAAAGGTAAGCTGAAGCTACGAGTCATTGTTGGGATACACGAACCTGGATTACGATCCCATAGTATCCATTCCCAAGGTAAATAAATTAGTCGCTAGAGCGTGAAATGACAAGATATAAAAAAAAGTGAAAATGGTAACATCTGGTAATAAAAAAACAAATGTTTTGTAAGTTATTTGTAATAAACTAGCAAAGTATAATCTCAAAACTAAAAAAGCGACAGCCGTAATCCAAGCTGGTTAAAGGGGCTTGTGCGATTCAATCCTGAACTGTTATGATCTGAAATCTCTCCCTACTATGTGATTTCGAACAACAGTTCATGAAGTGCTAGGTACTTAATGGATTTTAATCAACATTTATGATAGGATACACATTGTATTGATTGATAGGTGGTGATACTATGAACACTTAGTGTAATAACTTTCACAAGTTAGGTAGTAATTGAAATTTATTGGTATATTCTTACTACAGACTAGATAAAAATACAAATGTCCCTCCTCTGAGCGAATATTACTTAAAGACAATATGTTTTTCTACTTTATGATGTAAGAATTAACTACACTATACCTTGCCACAACTCTTGTCATTGTTGACAGTAAACTTACTTAAGCAGCATGAAAATAATTACTATTATTTACGGTTAAATGGCGAGTGACTGATTTTTATTGTGAGAGTAGCTAGAAAATACTGTTTGTTAACGAATCACCAAATAGCATAAAAATCATCCTCGTCGTCAAAAGCTCTTTCATTTTTGGTCTTTGTGTGGGTATATTCTAAATCTCAGTTTCAAAAACGGGATAATTAATAACAATCTAACCCTACAAGTTAATGTTTTTTGTCTTTTGAAAATGTAACGCCAGCTGACTTTTGATGATCTGACACTGTGTCCAGTTGGATGGTAAACATTTAACCAGACCTCTGATATGAGTCATGGACGTACGTTAGTTTTGGGAAACAAATATATTAGGTTCAAGTGTAAATAATAACTGATGCCTATCTAGCAAACTTGATGTACATATAAGATTCACTTTACAGAAGTTCGATTGTACAATGGATAATCCTCCTAGTCTTGTTATTGTAAGAATAGCAATAAAAGATACACGTCTTACATCTTAGTTGGTTCGTAGAGGATTAATTCCTCTGTATTTGACTCTAATAAATAAATAAATAATATCCCGTTAACTGAATATTTAATCCAGGTTAAATCTCCTAGTAAAATGATGGGTTTACTCGAGATTAGTCAAAAGCCTGAACACCAGTTATAGAGATAGTTTATTGCTGAAGTTTGATAAAATTCGCAAGCGTACAGATATCAAGCACTTAGGGAAAAAAGTGTGTGTGTGTGTATCAATGAGTGTTAAAAATCCATATATATTTATGAATGTTAAAGGACTATGGACAAATTATTGATTGTCTTTGCTTACAACTAATGAGAGAATAGATTAAAGATTGATGTGCAGACATGCGCTCAATCAGACTCACACATAAATTTACAAAGTGGATTAAATGTCTAAATTACAGAGAGCACACAAATAACACAATAGTTGAATGGGCTTACTACAGGTTATTGGGATTACAGTTACACGGATTTCCTTATTTCCAGTCCCATTTGTCCTGAGAACTTCAGAAATGTGAATCAAGTGCAGTCACAGAAGTTATTCAACAAGATTACTCTCACCGGCAGCTTGGATACTCTTTAGTTTTTTACGCAAGGTAAATGCGTCTTGTCGAAGACCTTTTTCACATTTCAGTCAGTCAGCTATAACATAGGACCAGACACATATATACATCGATCCAAGTTGCCATACCTCGTTAGCACAACAAGATGAACACCGGATTCATAGAAATAGTTAATTTAGTGGTGGTAGTATATAAAAGATAGGTTGTATATAAGGATATATTATAGCAAGGAAGAAAGTTATGAAGCAATTTTAATCTCAAGGTTTAAGGGAAGATAAGGAGTGTATATACCTACGCCATTGTGATCGATTCTGAGCGATGTCACACAGAGTCTCCAACCATTGGTTACGATAGTCACGCGGACCCCAACCAGGTAGTCTGCATCTACCAACATGGATCAGACTAGAAGTTGGTGACTTCAAGCACTGATGCCACGTTTTAGTTTGGCCGCCCCTAACTCTTTTCCAACCATCCCCTACACTAGTCAGCATAGCGCGTCGTGGTAATCGGTGTTCAGGCATACGTAACGTAGCCTAACCATCTCAGTCGATGAAGATTCATCACCTCATCAACTGACTTACCATCATTTCCTAATACCCTGTGTATAACCTCACTATTACTTACCCGGTGATCCCAGTAGATGCGAGCAATATTTCTAAGGCATCTGTGGTCAAATACTAGTAACTTACGAGTATCTTCTACTCTTAATGGCCATGTTTCACAGCCGTAAAGTAAAACAGAACGGACTGCTGCGCAGTATGCTCGTCCCTTAATTGATAGACGGATATCTCGTCTTTGCCATAAGTGACATTTATGAAGATTGAAACAAACAGGTGAGGACTAGAGAGTAGTTTAGAAAATGCGCACATCCAAATGTAACATAATTTCCAATCAAAAAAGAGTTGGGAGCAGCTATCGATTCATATCAACCGAAAAGCTAATTTAATTCCCAAAACGTTAAGCAAATAGAAGTACCAAGTTAAAAATGTTACGTGCATCTTAGCTTGTGTACGTCAGATAAGTAAACCCCAAACAGAACACTAAGCAAAATCAATATATAGTTGAGTTTACTAGAAAAGATAGTGCTAAACTCACCCGATCCGGAATAATGACTACAGAAGCAGGGTTATAATCATTTTTGAGTTCATTGTTACGACAATGTTCCTCTCGACTGAATAACCAATCTAGATCATCTCTAGTAAACCATTCACGACGCATTTCAATAAGTAAATTCTACAAAATTGTTACAAAGGACTAAAAATGAATGCTGAGATAAAAATGAAATTCGTTTATGAAGAAACTAATTTGTCAGATTTTAAAAACGAAGAATTATGTGGGTGAATTAAATCATATATCACCATACAAGTAATACACATAAAGACAAATGATAAAGCATATTAAAAACATTATTCGAAAACAGAACGCTTGGAAAGTGAATTGACCACTTAAATCTTTTGGTCTCAGCAATCTATCGATCTATTTAGGCACTACTTTTCAATTATAGATACAGAAGTACATAAGTGAAAGTAAAACACAAAAAGTTTGAAGTATTCAAAAGACAAAAATTGTGTTAAGCTAACAATCCTTGGAACATAGGTTGAAAAGATTAACATAGGTAGCTAAGTCATGGTAAAATATAATTGATGGAAGAAATGATATTTTGAAAGTACACATATCAGCTATTTCAGCAAGGTTGAAATCATTTATTGTACTGAATTTGTAGAGTTTTGGTAGTATACTGTCCCTCGATGTTCTGTTATTTTGACCAATGACATTAAATAAAGTGGCCAAATTAAAATGTGCTTATATACATCAAATAAATTACGATTATAAATGGATATGAAAAGTGCTTGCATTTATGATAACAGTTCAGTTAAATTACAGAATTACGAGTAATGATAGAGATAGTCAAACTTTTATATGCTGCTACTCGAATCGAATCGAAATCAGAACCACTGGTCAGTAGAGTGGGTAATTGGAAGTATGTTAAGATAGTAACTACATTCTTGACATACGAAATACTTAAATATCATAACTATACTTAACCAGCAAGTAAATAAATGAATAATAGCAAATGAAATTAAAGGTTACAAAACAACCAATGATTAATCACCTATGTTTGTAGTAACATTATTTGTAATATTGAGGACTATTTCGTTTGCACATTCAGCAGATTGTTTTTCTATTATTGCAATAGGAAAACTAAAAACTAGTTGGATAGCACTATATTGCTTTTTTGCATAGGAAACATATTGCTAATGTGTTAGTTTATAAGAAAAGCAGGTTCAAGATAAACCAAACTACAAACAATGCAGTAAACTTTAAACACAATAAGGTGAAGAGGTGACTGAGTGGCAAAAGAGATTAACTTTTAATTATTAAGTGAAAACTGAGAACCCCGGTTTCATCTATTTCAGTATGGGGGGACGGATAGTATCACTAACCTTCATACAAGCAATGCGACTCAGAGTTGAGCGCAGGAATCAGTATTCGGTAAATGAGCTACAATATTGCATTATTTAACTTAATAGAAACGAATAATTTCAGTTATATATATATAGATGAGTTCAAAACCAAAATGACAAACAATGGAACAGAGATAATCAGTTTTCTTCAACGAAGAAAATGTCAATGAGAAAGCTAAATGTATATCCTTTAAAAAAGCTTTTGTATTTGCACATAAAATAAGGGAAAGTCAGTTCAAGCACACACAGTAAACGTAATGAAAAATATGCCATACTTCTAGTCGTTCATTCAAGTTATACCGTGTACGCCAGTAATTAGCACGATCTTCAATAGCCATTGAATCAAGGCTCTCCGTCTGAATTTCGTCAAAACTATCCATATATTTGAAACCCTATGGAAAAGATACACAAGAATAGATAGACTTAAGATAATTTTAATCTAAATTGCAGAGAAGATACTGTTATTAAAAAAAATTATTTTTCACTTGAAGAAAGGTCACGAATATATATCTTAGTGTTTTCATATTTACTTTTTAAAATGTTCTTTGAGTGAACAATTATCTTCCATTTAAATATATTTTTAACTTCTTATTACTCCACATGATTCAACATTGATACATATAAACACTTTCAACCACTTTTTAAACAATGGAGTATCCACTTGTTTTATTATATGTACATTTATGCTAAATAACTATAAATACGATTGTCCATCTTTATGAATAATGCTGTATAAAATAAAATTACATTCATAGAATTATTTTAATATAACATTCCGCCACGTTAGGATGATGACAATAGCTACTGAAGAATACTGTGAAAAACAAAGTAACTTTTGATCCGCAAGGCAGTGGAGCATCGTGAGGAGATGAGTCCCATGTTAGCCGGTGACCAACGATTGATTCATACGCCATTTGTTCCCTCAGGATACTGAAACGCATGTGCACTATTAGTTTGGAATCAGGGTTTTCCAAGGTCCCTAGGTGAACTTTCCGTGCCCATCAACCCGGTTAAAGCGCCGAACATTCGCTTTTCGTCCTATCACTGTCGTGAACACCCCAGCCAGGAGAAGGCAGTGAGTAGGACTTCCCTGGCAGAGGCTATATATGGGTGGCGATGTGAGAGCATTTCGAGAGAGAGCGGACTCTCCGCACTCCCGGCCGTACCAGGGCATTTGGGGGCATCCTGTTATATCCTAGCGAAGACATAAGTACGGGTAACTCCCAGGACCTATTAATGGACGATTATTCTATATATATTCTTATTGTATAACTATTCAGTAACTAGATTATGTATATCTATATTCATCTTATCATAAGTTTAATTTGGACCAATTGATTATTATTATATGATTTACTGTTCCTAAATTATACTCAGTTTACTGATTACTGTCTCCCACATTCACAGCCACATTTGGCTTGATTATGTACAAATATTATTTTCTATTTTATGGTGTGGTGTGGTCTGTCTGTCTGATACTTATAGAGTATGTTTGAAATAAACGATCCGCATAGATTCGCATAACAGCTGTCATTGGTATTCTGGACTCAAGTGGCAGGGCTAGGCGAATAGAGGACCAATGAGGACCCTAGATTACTCATACTAATAGAACGTCATTAATTGTAACAGTGTTAAGGTCGGAAAAGTCGTATTCCCATTGGTGGATAATTCACGTGATAAAAGTGGACATAAAGTCAATAACGAATAAGCATACGTCCTTTGTTTATTTTGTAGAGTCACAACAAATTGGCGACGGCCTTGATAAAATCATAACACATTCCAACCAGGTAGACTACACCTACCAACATGGCTCAGTCCAATTGTCAGTGACTTCATTGATTTGTGCCACGTTTTGGTCTGGTCGCTCTAGCTTTCTTCCCACCTACTCCTATACGATAAAACATCACTCGTTGGGACAGCCGGTGGTTGGGTATACGTAACACGTGCCCCAGCCATCTCAACTGATCTCAACCGACTTCATCAATCGATTTGCCATCTTTATCTAGTACCCGTTTACTAACAACTGCATTACTTACCCGGTGGTCCCAGGATATACGAACAATGCTTCGAAGACACCTATGATCGAATACTAGTAGCCTACGAATATCCTCTACTCTTATCGGCCATGTTTCACTGCCATAAAGTAGGACGGAACGAACTGCTGCACAGTAAACACGCCCTTTTGTTGCTAAAAGGATATCTCGCCTACGCCATAAATGACGCAAGTTGGCGAAAGCTAGACGAGCCTTCTGTATCCGTGATGAGATTTCGTCATACACCAGACCACAAGGGCTGATGAGACTCCCAAGATAAGTGAAGTGGTCTACACGCTCAACTACTTCACTCCCTATCATTAATTCAGGTGTCGATGCAACCCAATCCTGAAGTAACATTTTGCACTTCGAGGGAGAGAATCGCATCCCGAACATGCCTGCATTGTTGCTTATAGTGGTCAGAAGACTCTGCATGTTGCCAGCGTCCTCACCAAATAAAACTATGTCGTCGGCGTATACTAAGTCAACAAGTGAGTCTCCCGGTAAAAGTTCAACTCCTGGAGGTTTAGCTGATGAAAGTGATATCTCTAAAAGTATGTCAACGACAAAGTTAAACAAGAATGGGGAGAATGGACAGCCCTGACGAACACCACTTGAGGTAACCAATTCTGATGACAGTTCGCCATAGGCTCTAACTCGACCAGTTGTGTTCGAATAGAGAGCCTTTATGAGGTTAATATACTTCTTTGGTACTCCTTTCAGTGACAAACACTGCCATAGAACCTCACGATCAACGGAGTCAAATGCCGCCTTAAGGTCGAGAAATACTACTATTGTGGGAGGTCTGAATGTGTGTCTATGTTCTAGGACCTGACGTAGAGTGAATATCTGGTCTATGCAACCACGTCCAGGTCGGATACCAGCCTGGTCTTCTCTAGTCTGCTCTTCACGAGCTTTGGATAGGCGTCGAAGTATTATTGAAGATAATATTTCAGACACTATATTGGTCAAACTGATCCCTCTGTGATTGTCACAAGAGGACTTTTGTCCTTTCTTATAGACTGGCACAATCAGTGATTGGGACCAGTCAGATGGAATTACGTCCAGTTCCCAGATTCTACCTAAGACCTCAGTCAATCTCGTTGGTAGTACTGGACCACCATCCTTAAAAATCTCAGAGGTAAAGGTGTCAAGGCCTGCGGCTCTCCCTCGCTTCAGATTTCCTATAGCTTTTTCAACCTCGTAGAGAGTTGGAGGATTTTCATTAGCTTGCCATTCAGGACGACTGGGGATCGTGAGTAACTGAAGTGTGGCTGAAGGCCAGTTGAACTGATCCCTAAAGTGTTCTGCTCATCGATCCAATCTTCTGGATTGAAAATGAATGATATGTCCATCTTTTTCCGAGATAGTTGGGTTCCTAATACAAGTCTGAACAATTGTCTGCTGTTACCTATTGCCGCTGTTTTTTACATCTCTCTTGTAAATAACAGCGATGTATATAACAAAAAACACCAGGATGTCAACAAGCCCATACTACTAAAGTTTGATCCCACTAATCACTGCTTGTCGATCTTTAAAAATTAAAGAACATTTCAGCAGAAAATAATAATAACCCTAATTGATTTATTATACAGTCAGCTTAGATAACTACTAAAATACGTATATACTATCACGAAGGAAAGACATGGAAAATCATATTAAACGAGCTTTAAAATGTTTAATATTGTATTGAGGATGGTAGAAAAATTGAATCTAGATTTCTAACATCTATAGACTGTAAAACCTACATAGACATAGAATGTATGAAAATACAATTAATGAGTAACTACGTAACAATTTTCCTAAATTGCCACATTACAACAAATCAAAGCACGGATTCACTGAAGTATTGTAATGGATGCTATTCACAAGTTTGCTTGTAAGTAGTACGTTGCGAAACGTAGCCTTGAAGTTGTCAGACATAGTGAAAGGTTTCAGCACGGCGAAATCACGGAGTTGGCAGAACACTCCGGAGGATGCAAATGGACGACTGAACGCTACGTATATGTATGATGTAAATCTTTGTAACTTTTTGCAATATATATAAATTTTTTGTCTATTGCCTTCTTTTACATTATTATTGAGGATGGTGTCCTGAGATTCAAACCACTCAATAACAGAGCAGTGAAAATGAAAGTTTGTTGAATGTTACATCCCAAATTGCCTTATCTACAGTAACAATATCCCTAAATTTATTAAATCAATGGACAATGCTAAAGTTAGAAAGGAAACTTTTGATTCACATTATTTTCAGTTGTTCAGATTTATGAGTCTATAATAAAAAACACTGAGACCAAACTCTGAAAATATCATCCATGGATTAGACTTTAGGGCATCACGGTCAGTAACCACCATGACATCTGACCCGCTGAAGTTTCTCAACTATCTCGTGGATCAAACGTTCAGGTCAAAGGATTCGGAAGTGATCGCCTAAGGAAACCCCAGTTTATGTTCAGACGTTAATACAGTTTTTATGCTCCAACATGAGTACTGATGATTAGTAATAAAGGAAACGACGACTGTATGTGGATTCCCAATATTACATAGTGTCTTGGGCAGTAATGGGGGTCAATGTTTAGGAGGATGATATGATGTTAAGAAATCAGTCAAACTTTTAGATTTACAAAATAATATTTGAATAACAGTTCTCAAACCAATGAAATTAACTGTTACATATATTCTCTAGAAATTCTATTTGGATTATTAAAAACGTTACTAATCGTAATTGTTTTAAACACTACTCCGTTACAAAATGATTTCTACATACTGATGTAGTCTTCAGTCACTGAGGACAAAAAATTGGTAGACTAGTTATTATCGTTGCACGCTTCCGATTTCACTTGAACTAAGTTAACAAGTTAAAATATTATGCTATTCTCATTGAAGTACTAGTAATTTTAATAATAGCTGTCACGCTAGTCACACATGTAGCATAAAGAGGAACTACAGTGTACAATTTAAATTTTACTATTTATAAACTTACAGAATGAGTGAATCCATGCATAACACGTGTCTCCACTTCAAATGTATTTAGAGATTGACCAGAAACACCCGTATAACGCGATACTAGTAAGTAACCTCCAGAACGAGCACCGAGTCCGTATGGAGAAATATTGTGATGGTAAATATCATCACTTTTATCAATTAAATTAGAAAACTTGCAGCTGAGTTCATCAACAAGACAGAGTTGAATAACCCGAACCGTGAGTGAACTATTATCGTCACAATGAATAAGCTTTCCACAAGTGGGCATCTGATTTCCATTTTTTACTAGAAAATTATTAGGAGCACAAACAGTCATCACTCGATTCAAAATAGGGAACCAGTTATAATGTTTTTTGCGATCAGAAACAGAATCTTGAGAATCAGAGGACTTTAAATGACTGGCATGAAAAGATAAAAATGAGTAAGTGACTATAACATAATATAATTAGTTGAAACAAATAATATACGAAAACATATTTAGGGTGTATATTAGACAAAAGCAATCTTCTGAAAATAGTTCAGAAGAAATTGAGGCAGTGAATGGAATTCTAAGAAGTACACAAACCAATTTCATATTACTCGTGGATAGACCAAATATAAACCGGAGACAAAATCCACAACTAGATAGATCTACCACGCCGAGCACGTAGATATACAAACTGTAGTACGAGCATTCAATGTCTTATACTGTTTATAAATATAGGAAGAAATTAATGCGAACAGTATATATATATATATATATATATATATATATATATATATATTTGAGCACACACGTGTGACCCGGTTTACCCAATTCAGCTTTTTTTGTCACTGTCCATATTTTCTCTCGAGTGCCCGAGCTGGTGCATAAATAGTGTGTACTGACATCAACTTTCGAACACTACCGGTCACAACAATCTTAACCAGGTCACAGAACTGAATTTCTCTTAACATTCATTGACATATGTAACCACGTACTATTAATAAATCTCATTCGGAATTTGTAGCTTTAAGCTAAGTTTACGAACCCATAATAAGTTAGCATTTGATTAACTACGATGCAAAATCTAGGAAAGTCTTGGTTTAAAAAACGTGCGAATTGTATCAAAGAACGATATGGTTATTCCTATAACATAAGTATTTTCATGGGATCAAGTGGTAAAGTCAGTAGATATCGTCATTTCATTTACTTGTGAAATGACGATATCTACTGACTTTATTTCTATTCGGGCACAGAGACGATAATCCAATTAGTGTCACCATCTTGAAACACCGACCTCGGTGGCTTGGACATGTTCTACGAATGTCGTCCCAGAGAATTCCACGTCGTACATTATTTGCCGACGCTGCGACTAGTTGGAAAAAGAGGAGAGGTGGTCAGTTATGACATGGTGTCGTGGCATGAAAGAAAGCCGCAAAGGACTGGCTTCTGTTGGTCCTTCACGACTCCCTGGTTGGGGTCCAAGAGATGGTGCAACACAGTGGCTAGAGACGTTATCAGATATAGCTCAGAATAGAAGCCAGTGGCGATCGTGCTGTAACCTTTTTACTTCCTTAATAAAGAGTGGTCATAACTTCCTTAACTGAAAGAGATCTTCTGGTTGTATATTTCTGTTCCCCCATTATTACTCTTATTATTACACTAACATACACTCTGTGGTTCTTGTTGTCTCTTCTTTTTTTCTTATATACACCTTACCCCTTTTCCCTTCTCATTCTCATTGTTTTGTGTGGCGCATATATATCTGGTGCCCCCTTGTATCAATATTTATGTGTAAATTAATAAATTGGTAAAGTTCGTGTAAAGAAAGCTTACATTATCCGAGAACTTAAGATAGATAAGTACAGGGTTGTGGGTCCAATACCGATAGCTTGAGATAAAAATCTTCCCGCTTGTAGTTGATCGCCTTTTCCTAACCAATAAATACCCAGCCACTGGCATATAGGACGTAAAAGATTTGGGACTGGAAAGCTGGATAGTTGCTGATAAGCGCCATACAAACGTGTAGCCATATTATTAGAAATCTGACTCATCTGATCTGTATTCTCCGATAACAGAGGATCTTCTTCACATACTGTATTGACCAATTTAGTTTTGATTTGATTAGCAGCCCATTTGGACGCTAACCTGACGCTGCGTGGACGCAAAGGAGCATCAATTAAGGAAGAACAAGATTCCACTGGGTCTAGGACTACGGTATGACTTTTGCCCGAGCCTGTATTTTTGTTTTCTCTTCTACTCAAAACCTTCTGTATGTGTCGAATGAAAAGTTTGGTGATAAATACACGATATAATGAATACAAAGTACAAATACTTAAAAACTAATTTTCTTAACAGCTCACGATGTTCAAAAAATTAAATATGATTTAGTCGAAACCATTACCACAAATATAATGAAAATTCAAAATAAATATTGACTGAGTAATAAAAATCCAAAAAGCTAAGTTTATGGACCGGTTAATTGTAACTGAAATCCAACCACGGAATAACAAAAAAACAGATGTTTGAATTATATTGGTGCCTGTGTGATAGAACTGTAATTACAAGAGAGCTGTTATATGATCTAGTCCAATTGCTAACTATTTCACCAGAATTGTCTACACAACACCGATGATACGATGACAGTGATAAAACAGCCAAAAGTAATAAGGCCTAATGGTCTAGAATCCAGTTGTCCAACGCTCACTCACTAGATAGCCAGGAAAGCACATAACATACCAAGTAGATAACTATTAAGTATAAGGTTTAAATTTGTGTCCCAGATAGTCTAATATTTTTTTGTCGTTGTTCCCCTCTCCTCATTATCATTATGACAAAGATGAATCACACTGTCTCCTAGAAAGTAATAGGTAACAAGATTCATGAAGCCATTACCAAATTATCTCTGTATCTAATCAGACCAACAATTAAAACATACATCATGTTCCGCTAAGAAGTTAGTTGTCACTAAACAATCTAACATAAACAAGTGTACATATTATGCGAATTTCCAGAAATGTTTATTTGATTGTAGCAGCGATAATGGTTTATCAAAAAGAAAAAAACAGAATACTACGGTTCACCAGGTGCACTAGTTCAACTAAATTAAAACTTCACACTGTTTAAATCTGTACGTACATTGAGAAAATACAGAAAATAACAATTTCGGAAGAAACATGAGGAGGGAAAAGTGGCAATTATAAACAATCAACTGATCAGAAATTTTGAGCAATATCAATAAAGTGGAGGTAGGTATGTCAGTCATACTCAGCGTAAAGCTTGACACAATTTATGTTAGTCCGATCGACAGACATCAGTAAACGAAGATGAAAGTAACGTGATGAATAGCAAAGGAGTTGAAGTGATTTTTCCAACTACTAAGAAATAACTAATTCATTAGAATACAATCAGTCCGAGTGTTAGAATTAAATGATTTCAATGTTCATTAAAACTGAAAATTATTCAGACTTGGTCTATCCAACAAGATAGAAAATGGTATATATCATCAATTCAATTTATGTTATCCTATCAGCGGACAGAAAACACAATCCAGATATTCTGATATTCTTAGTGTGATAAAAATGGTTACAGGGATTTTATCTAAAAGGTAAAAACGTGACTATAAAAATACATCACAATACAAATATTTGTTTAGATTGCAGAATTGTTGTGAGTTCAAACTACGAACTGATCTTAGCTAGACCATAGACAAAAACCTGGAAACGTTGGACGACCAGTTCGTTCGAGTTTGGGACACCACAGCAGTGCGCATCCTCGATGTCACATCTGGAAATCGAACACACGACCTTCGGTATCGAATTTAGAACAAAATGAGTAGTTTCAGTTGAAAAAATGCAAAAAACAGAACAAAACATCCATTTAAGTTCTAAAGTGAATAAAAGTTGAGAACGCTTAAGCATTACTGACGTGCTACTTAAACAAATCGAAGTAGAGATAATTAAAAATACAGACTAGCTTTAAAGGAAATTAAGTGTTTTAAATAATGTCAACTCACTTTATTTTTGGACAAATGGTCGCAATATATTTCCAGAGGTTGAGAATTAGCTGGTTTTCGGAAGGCATAACCAAGCAATGGTATTAATATTTCATTGTCTGCTTCATGACTATCTAAAACAATATCATTATTCGTTAAAGGATTATCACAGCGTCTAGTCTGTATTGTAGATTCTATAGGTGCTTCATTAATTTTAGTGGTTTTATCAACCTGTTGGTGACCTATGGAGAGAAATAAATGACATAAAAGAAGACCATTAATCCGCAATCAATCACCACGCTTTTGAGTAGTATATATATATATATATATATATATATATATATATATATTATGGACCGTTGATCTGACTCTTATTTGAACGTATGATGATGTCTATGAGATATGCATTCTGGCTACCCTCGTTCACGATTATCGACCTGATTTGAGTCAGTGAATGCAGGAATAAAATAAGCCAAATACAGAATGAATCTTGGATACATATGTTTCATAGACTCGTTGATTCAGACAAACAATCAGAGAAGCGAAGCGGGGCAAACAGGAGAAGGCAACTGCGCCAACTCCATTTGATAACCAGACAAAAATAAGCTACAGAAACGTGATATATAAAGTAAGCGATACACACATACCTTCATATAAAAACAACCAAGTTTATAGGTGAATGATTGACAAGGTAAAAACGTGACTCACTAGTTCCGATTATAAACTTTGAAAATGTTGAAAGCAGTGACTTAGGAAGGTAATTAATGAAATACAGATTGAAGCAATTTGATTTAAAATAAGGTTACATGGAATATTTTTAAAGAACTAAACATCAAGTCCCGACCGCTGCTGATACCTTGACGTGGTGGTCGGGCTTGCCCATCGTGATGAAGCAATCGGGCTATGCTGGCTGAAACAATCATTCCTCGAGGTCCTACCATGCCAGACAGGTCGGTTGAAGAGCGGTGAGACTAAAAGCAGCAATCCCAAGGTCCGAAGGCGAAGTCGTACTGCTGACTGTACAGAGGTGTGACAGCAGTAAGGTGTTTCCTTCAGACAACCAGCATGACAGCGATGCTGCTTTCCCACAAGGAGGGGTGGGGTTAGAAAAGGTCGACCCTAAAAATGCACACCTCGCTTTATCCCACGGATTTCCGTATCCGGCGGTAAGGTCCTTTGAAGAACGGAGCTAACACGTCAAAAATCCCCCACAAAAAGGCCATGCGTGACCGGCCTCAAGTAGTTGTCCCTTGAGCACTGCGGTCATGCTCCCAGGTCGTTAAGACCAACACTAATCCGACTTCTTTTTCAGGTCCCTCAAGAAATACCCTTCCACGGTGTGGGCAGCCGGGAAGTGATCCTACTCCTAATAACTCTCTTATCTCCACGACTAACCCTTCCCACGTACTTTTATCACCTCGTACCGGTAGGGCAAACGATTCGAGTACACGGAACGTTATTCCTGGTCTCCTGAAACCACGCTCTAAACTATATATAGGAACTTTTAATGTCCGAACATGGTGCCAAATAGGACAACAGGCTTCCTTAGCTAGGACTCTAGAATCTTACACCATCGATGTGTGCTGCGTCTCCGAAACGCGCATACAAGATCCGAGTAGTGTCATTCATTAGACCTCACCTAATCAAAATAAAGATTCATCTCGATACACCCTTCGTGTATCTGGAAGCCATAATGCTGCTTCCCGTGGCCTCGCTGGAGTAGGTATAGCATTAAGTCCTAGGGCAGAACTAGCTCGTTTAGACTGGATCCCAGTAGACAGTCGTCTATGCGCTGTCCGACTAAACGGATCAGTAAGGACTCGGAAAGATAGGGAAACTCGTAGTTGCCTCTTCGTCGTCTCTGCCTACTCTCCCACTGTCTGCAGCTCAAACGATATAAAAGATGAGTTTTACAGGAAACTTTCTGACCTTCTCCGAAAAGCTAGGCGTTCTGATGTAGTAATAGTGGCTGGTGACTTTGATGCTCAAGTAGGTAAACTAAGTGAAACGGAAAGACACCTGGGTGGATCTTATGGTGTCGTGGCTAAAAGAACAGATAATGGCGATCGTCTGTTGCAGCTGTGCTCAGATAACCGCCTATTTATTGCAAATACTAACTTTAAGCATAAGGAAAAACATCTTTTGACATGGCGACCCCCGAATTCGTCCCAACGTTGGACCCAATTAGATCACATCGCTATCAGCCACCGATGGAGGGGCTCGATAGAAGACTGTCGCTCATTCTGGAGCACATGTTTAGACTCAGATCATGTTCTAGTGCGAGCACGTATCTGTCTGAGTCTTACTGGACGTAGGAAAGACACTGCAGGGAAGCCTCTAAGGGTTCTACTTAACGATAGGCAAGCTAAGAATATATTTCAGGAACAACTAGAAAAACAGTTAGGCAGACATGTAAGTTGTGCCCACCCCGAAGCAGCGTGGAATGACATGCGTAAAGCTGTGGAAACAACAGTGATATCCGCTAGTAAGGTAAGCCATAAGGTCAGGGAGAAACAATGGATCTCGGCAGCATCTACCACACTGATAGATGCTCGAAAACTCATCCCCCCTGGTTCTGAACATAACGAAGAGCGGAGTCAGCTTAAGCGAAGGCTAGTAAGAAGCCTACGCAATGATCGTGAACAGTGGTGGGTAGCGAAAGCAAGAGAGATGGAAAAGGCAGCGGCAATAGGTCCAGGAGATTGGATCGATGAGCAGAACACTTTAGGGATCAGTTCAACTGGCCTTCAGCCACACTTCATTTACCCACGATCCCCAGTCGTCCTGAATGGCAAGCTAATGAAAATCCTCCAACTCTCTACGAGGTTGAAAAAGCTATAGGAAATCTGAAGCGAGGGAGAGCCGCAGGCCTTGACACCTTTACCTCTGAGATTTTTAAGGATGGTGGTCCAGTACTACCAACGAGATTGACTGAGGTCTTAGGTAGAATCTGGGAACTGGACGTAATTCCATCTGACTGGTCCCAATCACTGATTGTGCCAGTCTATAAGAAAGGACAAAAGTCCTCTTGTGACAATCACAGAGGGATCAGTTTGACCAATATAGTGTCTGAAATATTATCTTCAATAATACTTCGACGCCTTTCCAAAGCTCGTGAAGAGCAGACTAGAGAAGACCAGGCTGGTATCCGACCTGGACGTGGTTGCATAGACCAGATATTCACTCTACGTCAGGTCCTAGAACATAGACGCACATTCAGATCTCCCACAATAGTAGTATTTCTCAACCTTAAGGCGGCATCTGACTCCGTTGATCGTGAGGTTCTATGGCCGTGTTTGTCACTGAAAGGGGTACTGAAGTGAATTATAAAGACTATCAGTTCAAAATAACTGTGGTGGCAAGGTTGTGTTACGCATAATAAAGCACCGTTCAACAGCGTATATTTGTGGCTAGACTGTGAATGATTTATAAGAAAACGAAGGGTGGTCAAAAGAGATAGCATTAGTCCAGTTAGTCATAGATTGTTGGCTTAGGATGTATGTATAATTGTAAACTTTTGGTGTTCTCAAGATGAAATAGTGGTGATCAAAGCTAATAAGTAGTAGGGTCCGAATGTATTTACTAATTGTCTTCGACTACTTATCGAACATGTTATTACTCTTCATTCAAATATACTTAAAATATCCAATAAATACTTGGAATATTCATTTATTTCAGCGGTTTTCATCTTTTCAAATTTACTTGTTTTGTTGCACAATGTAGCAACTTGAAGCAGAGTACTTTTAAAATGGGTTTTACATTCCAATACTTACTTGGTAAGGTTATACTGGTAGATAAACGAGATTTCAAACCATTAGCGGTGAATAGTAGGAAGACAGATTTAGGAATCCAACGCTCCACATGGTATTTTGTTTAGATAATATAAATGGGACTAAAGAGTTTGAAAAATAAATGGTATAACTCACGGGATGATTGATAGCGACTTCTGTTGTGTGGTGAAATATTTGAACTAGTTTTGTTTCGGCTTTCTGCTGGACGACGGGGAGCATTTGGTTTAGGTACGGGAGGTGGTAACTGTTTGCCGGTGTGAAAATCTTCCTTTGACTGGATTTGAGGTGATGACGATTTTTCAATCTTATTATTCCATGTCTCTGATGACTTTTCCGTAGGAGTGATACTGAGCGACGAAAAAGCTTCTATGAGATCTTTATTTTTATTAGGCTCTCCCTGCAGAATCAGTGAGGGATTGGAAAACCACAAAACGATAGAAAAAACATGGATTTTGAGGGTTTATAGTTGACTAATATTAAGAATATGTTCGACTAGGAGCCACAAAAAACTGTTGCATTTTAACATGGATATGACAAAAAAAATAATATTTGTTTTCATTTAATAAACCTTATTTAGAGGGACAAAATAAACAGCAATGATACAGATGTGACGTTACCCATTCAAATATTGAGTTATTTAGAACATTTAACCCACAATTATAACCTCAAATCCAGTTACATTATAGGGATCTCATTTTATGTTGGAGTACTATCAACAACCTTACAAGTCATCGTGTACATGCTACCCAATCGTAAAATAAACAAAGGAATGGTCATTGGTAGGTAGAGTTCGCTTAGACGGGTAATATAATCAACAAAAAATCATTAGAGTGAGGGCTTTGAACCATTAACAAGTAGTTGGACTAACAATGATTCATATCGGAAAGTAATAAAACTGGATTCGACTCATCATAGAAATATGTATTCATTGTATTATTTTTTTTCCCGAAAACAGTAGTCGAGTCATTTCCAGATGTATTATCACAGCATAGGCACCCCAAAAATTATCTGATTTTATACTTGTATCTTCTCATTTCATCCACTATTTGTGTAAATTAGAGATGCGGGAAATTTGTCAGTTACACAAATTCGAAGGATTAATATGGATGACCGTTGTATACTAAGGCTACAGAGAAATCTCTGCCGTAAGTGTAACGTAGTTAACCAGTGATCCTATTATGTCCCAATGAGAATAGTGAATGGTGATTTTGGGGTCGATTTATCAGCCAGTACTATGCATATATTTTTTATCGTATAGTGGCTAAATAACTAAACTATTTATATTCATGTCTTCCTTATTATTGTGGTGTGGGCTACTTATATCCACATAAGTAGTATATGGTGATGGTCAAACATAGAATGTATTTTGGCAGAAGATCGATAAGGAACGAACAGGAATGAAGCGCAATCGGTATGAAAATGCATGAACAATAAAATGAGAGAAGACGGACTGATATTAACAGAAGGAACAGTTAAGATGGAGACAATTGATTGTTATTTCGCAAATTAACTGTTTACTGTATGGTTATCAGAATTTAGTGAGATAGTCTGTAATTTGTGCTTAAATACATTCGACTGTCCCCGCACGTGTTCTTGTCCACTACATTATGAGCTTTATTTCGACTTATGAACTATTATCATACTATTATCCACTCGGCCACAAGTTATAACAGATCCCGACTTCTATCATTTCTTTACTTTGGGGTATAAAGTTAAGAATGCTTCCAAAACTGTTATAATATCCTTTGGTTTGTGAGGATCTAAATGAAGTTAGTACACCAAGTAATTGTAATCTATAAACGGAAGTGAACAATTGACTGGGTTTATCATTATACTCAAAAAGAAATCTTTAGTTAAATAAATAAATTAGGAAAACAGTATCGAAAGTTGACTTACATGATTACGAGATTTTACAGCTCCTTTAACATGCGCCGATGGAACAGCGTACAAAGCAGGTAAAAAATGAGAGGATGGTAACAGTTCATTTCGAACTACCTGAGTCAAGTTAAACAACCAAGGCCAGGAAACCCCATTAAGGATTAAGCAAACACAGGTTCCTAGCGGTAAGCCACCAACACTCAGAAAGGACTTGCTTACAGATTCAAAGGTAAAATCAACAGTGTGAGGTATATAGAATCCTTTATTGTACCACTTATTCCATTCTGAGGTAAGTCGTTGTCCGGCAATCGCTGAAGCGATTTGGATAGCACTTGGATAGGCATCAACTGCTTCACTTTTGTTACTAAAATGTGTACGTCGTGTTGGACTACTAGAAAAAATTGAACTGAATGGTCTATTGTAGCCAGACAAAAGAGGATTAGAACCATCGGAAAATGAATCGTTAGACAAAGAATTTACTACCGTCATGTCTCTCACCAATTGATTGTTACCATTGTATAGAGATTGATTGGGAAATGTTTTAGAATGAATAAAAGCAGATTCATCAACTTCCGTGGTAGTTTTTGAATTCGAATTCACTTTTAAATTTTGTTTAGATCTTTTAGTGACTAGTTCCTCAAGAGACACTTGACATGTTGCAATATGATTTAGCTGTCGAAGACGCAATTCAAAAGCCCACTGACGTTGAGCAAACATATCTAGATGTGCCATTAAGTTGAGAGCAATTTGTGTACTAAAACAAAGGTAAACATAAAATGTTGGTACAGATGAACTCTATGTGTGTAATTCCCGAAAATATCAACTGTATTTAATCAATCTGTAAAATCTGAATAGTAAATGAGGGTATTAACTTTTATACATAAACTTACTAGCTGCATAAGTGAAACCGTTGGCCGACGCATAATAACTCATTTTGATATACACGTGCTTCTCTTACAGTACCTAGAAGGGTATATAACTCAGCAGTTTGATGGCAACCGTATAAAAGTAGTCGCGTTCCCAACCATAAATTAAGTAATTCATTATCTAGAAATAATCAACAATATTATGGTTCTTAATTAAAATGCGATGAATATATGACAGTGAGGAAAATGTTAATCAATCATGGTCACCAGATGAGTTGTAAACATTTTCTGATGATAATAGTTTAAGAGAACAAGTAACACTTTAAATTTCTTAAAAGCATCATGTTGAACGATTACGATAGATTGCCAGTTATAAAAAAACAAAGGATTTCGAAAATAAATAACTTCAGTCCAGTCTGATTTTGTCCTGTTTTATTATACTGTTAACTTCTTGGTCAAAGATATATTATGTCAAACAAAACATTTAGATTGATTTCCCAACCAATCAATCGAAGTTTTCATCTGCGTTGGAAGCAGCACTTATTCAGTAATTAGTTCTGAGGCGTTAGAAGTGTCAGTCATGTTATTTGAAAGATGAAAAGTATATTTTATAATCAATGAGGTGAGAATAATCAATAATGCCTAAATAACAAGTATAGTTAATACACCTTGTGTTAGCAGGGAAGAGAATTGAGACGAGCAAGTCACAAATAAGATTATGTTGGAGTATTTTTATTACCAACTCCGCCTGTAGCTCATCTAGGGTTACTGTCAGTCCCAAACTCAGGTAAAGTAGGATGGTTTGGCATGGAATCACCAGAACCATCCCGTAGAAAACAAACTTGCTAAAAAGTACGCTAACCAGAAAAAAAAAATTTGGACAATTAATACTCTGTCCTGGGAGTTGAACGACCTACATATAGAAGAATAGTGACGAATCATGGTGAAAGCCGAAGTCCTTCGGAAGTCACAAGGCCAATATCCATCTTAGCAAACAGAGCGACAATTATTACAGGCACACTGAATGTTCAGACAACGAAAGTGACTGGGAGGACCAGTCGAATAGGTGCGGAAATGAGGATATACAACGTGGCGGTGCGCAGAATCAGTGAAACACATTAGACCTAAGCTGAACAGAAAAGACAAGAGTGAAGGAGATGCTATTATAATCGGGTCACGAAGAAAAGAATGCTTCGCACATTCAGAGAATTGCTCTAATGATAACCAAAAAAGTACAAAAGGCGCTTATAATATGGGAATCTTCTGGATCTAAGATAATCACAGAGCTTTTCAGAACAAAGAGGATAGAGATCACATGAATGTTATCCAATGTAATGCACCCACCTATCATAGCAACAAATATGTTAAAGATCAATTTACCGAGAGGCAGTGATCGATTATATCAAAGTGCTCAGAAAAAAACCTGACCATCCTTATGGGAGATCTAAACTCCAAAGTCGGAATAGACAACACCGAGTATGAAGATATCATGGGACGACATGGATTGAATGAGAGGAAGGAACGAGAATGGTAACAGATTCGCATTCAACAGAATGCTTATAGGCGGCACAATATTACCCGACAAACACTTAGTGGTTGTCAAGATGAAAGTGAAGCTAAAAAGCAATCGACAATGAGGAAACAGCATTACAAAAGTTCAATACACCCTTCCTTCGATATACTGACAAACTCAACCAATTCAAGACAGTTCTCAACAACAGGTCCCAAGCCTTGCACGATCGACTCAAAGAAGAAGAAATTACTATGAAGGACAAGTGGAAAGAGACCAAAAAAGTACTAGCTTCACCATGTCAGGAGGTTCTAAGCCACAAGAACCATCACCATAAAGAATGGATCTCTAGGCAAGATTTAAGAAAGGGAGAACAAGAAGACATCAATTAACAACAGTCAAACAATAGCACAGATAATCAGACACAAGCTGAATACATAGAAGCGAACAGTCAAGTGAAGAGAAGTATTAGAGTTGAGAAGCAGAAATACGACGAAGACCTAGCAACGACAACAGAAAAAGCAGCAACAGAAGGATATACCAAACAACTATATGATACAACGAAGAAACTAACAGGGAAATATAGTAAGTCAGAGCAACCAGTTGACGACATAGAAGGCAAGAAAATCACTGAGACTCAAGAACAGAGAAATACGTGGGTACAACACTTTGAGGAACTCTTGAATAAGCCAGCTCCATTAAATCTACCGGACATCGAAGCACACACACAGACCTTACTATAGATGTCACTCCACCAACGATCAAACATATCAGAATGGTTATCAGACAAATCAAGAGTGTGAAAGCAGTAGGACCTGACGATATACCAACCGAAGCACGAAAGTCAGACAAAGAAGTAATTGCAAACATACCCACGTTCTATTCGAGAAGATTTTAGAGGAGGAACAAGTGCCGACAGTTCGAAAACAAGCATACCAAGGATATGAAGCTAAGAAAGCAAGGAGATCTGAGCAAATATGAGAACTACAGAAACATCACACTATTATAGGTACCAGGAAAAGTTTTCAACAGAGTGTTGCTGGACCGGATGAAAGATTCAGTAGACGCTCATCCTACAGGTCAACAGGCCAGATTTCGTAAGGATAGGTTCTGTACAAACCAAATTGCGATAGCACCGACGGCCATTGAACAATCATTTGAATGAAACTCCTCACTAAGCATCAACTCCCTTGACTAGGAGAAAGCGTTTGATAGTGTGCATAGGAGAAGCTTATGGAACATTCTTCGACATTATGGAAATAGTAGCTGAGAAGATCGTCAACATCATTCGGAATTCATACGATGGATCACACTGAACATTCGTGCATGGAAGATAGCTGACAGACGCATTCTAAGTGAGGATCAGAGTCATTCAGGGCTGCTTACTCTCTCTTTCTTCTGGTGGTTTAGTGGGTTATGAAGACCACCACGTCTGAGGGGAAGCACAGAATACAATAAAAAAGGTTGAATGCAACTAGGCGACTCGGACTTCACAGATGACTTGACCATTTTATCCCATACAGACCAACAAATGCAGGTCAACACAACCAGTGTAGTAGAAACTTCTGCATCACTATGCCTCAACACACACAACGGAAAAATTAAAGTCCTCAAATACACCACAAACAGCACCAACCTAATCACACTTCATGGAAAAATTCTGGAAGAGGTGGAAAGTTTCACATTTCTCAACAGCATCATTGATAAATAAGGAGGATCTAATGTAAATGTGAAGGCAAGGATCGACAAAGCAAAGACAACATTCCTACACTTCAACAAAATATGGAACTCAAAACAACTGTCAACCAATATTAAAGTCACAATATTCAATACGAACATCAAGACAATTATATTGTGCGCAACTCAAATGGGGAGAACTACTAAAACCATATTCGAAAAAGTGTAAGTATTTATAAACAAGTGTCTATGTAAGATACTCAATGTCCCTTGACCAGATACCATCAGCAGTAGCCTACTGTGGGATAGAGCAAACCACTTTCCATCTGGAGAGGAAATCAGGAAAAGACGTTGGAGGTGGATAGGAAGTAGATTACGGAAATCACCAAACTGCATCACGAGGCAAGCATTAACTTGTATTCATGAGGGAATGCAGAAAATATGAAGACCAAGGGATACATTGCGTCGGGAATCGGAAGCAAGCGGCAAAAGAATGAATAACAACTGGGAAGGATTGCTCGGGACGGAGTTTGGTGGAGAATCCTGGTGGGCGACCTACGCTCCACGACGTTAACAGGCGTAATTAGATATGTTAATCGCTCCTTTTAAAATCGATCAGGGCTACTGGGTGAACTGAGAAGACTATGTGGAAATTTTATGCATCCACTGACATGTTACTTACATCAATGTTTTGCTTGGAAATATATTTACGTGCTGTTCAAGCGGTGTATTGATTCGGGAAAAAATCGAGCACTGTGAGATGTTTAAGAATACTAAGTGGTAGAAAATCACTAGGCCTAATAAGGGAACTTGACATCTTGGTAATTAAAGGTTCCTAAGATTAATAATACCGTCTTTAGAACTACGAACCAGAATAAGAACGAATAATTATAAGTAGGTCCGATAAGCTAAATGTAAACATTGTGCATACTAACAGACGCCGATTGAGGACTAAGTAACCAACCAATGGAATCCTGGAAATATTGGATAGCTGTATCGTCCTAGTATGGGACTCTTTAGTAGTGGACATCTACGACCAAACTGGAGGACCGAACCCAGGGTCGTCAGCCTCACACGAGACACTTAACCTCTAAACCACTAACCCGGAATCTAATGGTGCAAGTGTCTAACAATAACCAACCTGTGACTTTTCATTGAAGGTAAAATACAAGATGTTGTGAATTACCATAAACATTTTTAGGAATAAATTATACCACAAAGGTGATTAGAAAGGCTTACAAGCTAAGAAAAACAACTGCTTATACCTGTCAATGAAACAGAAGACCAAGCAACGGTAGATACTTTTAGCTCTGAAGGTACTGACTTTGGTTCAACGAACTTCTTTAAATTTTTGAGACCAACGGACGGATCTTCATTTTCTTTTCCGATCCCAACCTTAACTTGTTGTTTTGTACAGGAACGATTTTGTAATTTCTGTTCACAACACAAACGCATAAATTTCACCAGTGTTTGACCATGCATACGAACAATAACTGCAGCATGTAGAGGAGATACGGGTGGTGGAGGGAACATATCGTGAGTGTCTGACTGAAGAGATGTACTGGCCAACTCAAAGTTAGCACCGAATATGCAGCGAGCATGAAGATGCAGCCAGTAGAAGTAGCCACGAGCACAAACAACAGCCCACGACTTTCCCTCAAAGAACTCTTTATACTGCAGTCGAATAAGATCCAGGTTTGCAGAAAAAGCAGGCCACTGACAAGGATAAGAACAATATTTTAAGCATTAATACCATATATTTAAGCGTTAGGACGGATATTAATTTGATCGCTGATAAGGTGACATACATTAAATTCGGTAAATAGACTAAAATTAATGCAAGGTTTAAATACTAGGCCCGACAATCAAGTCTCAGTTGATAGCACGGTGAGTGACTTACGAATAAATTTCTTCTAATCGCTTGTGACATTTTATCATGTGTATTTTGTGTCAATATTTCGCACATAAGGATGTCATTTTATAACCTAAAAATTAGTTCTTACGTGGTGTCTGTAAAGAATTAAGGCTTATATACTACTTGGAATCTCCACTCTAGTTAGTAAACAGAAAATAAAACGAAAGTAGTTTACCTCGTCATATTGAACTTGTACCTGAGAATTAATGGGTTGGTTTACGGATGTTCCAACTGGTGGATTATCAGATATACATTAGGAAGTGAAATAGTTGTAATTACTGTATATGATGATCTAACTGACATTTTAAACTATGATTCCAGGGACAGGAAAATGTCGAATAGCAGTAGATTATTCTGTACATCAAATGTACAATATAAGTATGTTAGGAGGAACTGATTATAAGTTCCAAAAATATTTTAAAGGAATCACTCTATGCTTTACGTTACACTTATAACTAGTTGATACTCTTGATTCCAACACAATGTGACAAAAATTTCTTATATACTAATATGCACTTGGTTGCGATAATTTACAATAATTTAACACTGACTAGTACACAACCATAAGTATATTTGGAGATGAATTAGATGTGCAGTAAGTCGATCTCCAAAGTGATTTTCACTTTGATGTAGATTATAATCATATCCGGACAGCTGTAAAATGAGTGGTAATATTTAACAGTGACCATAACCAAAAAGCTAGGAGGATCAGTCAGTTTTGTTAGCGTTTACCAAGTTGATAGATGCTTGAAAGGTCATTTTATTATATTCAAAATATGATATGAAGCAAAAGAAACTTAAAAACAGAACAATAAAACGTCTACGAAGTGATCATTCCTAGTGAAAGCAAAAGCGATGGAAAAAGAGGTCGCGACAGGCAACAGTAGAACACTTTTCAGACTTATTAAGGAAGTAGGAGTTAAAAATTCGGCTGTTAGTTAGTTTATTTTGGAAAAAGATAGGACGATAATCTACTCACAGCCTGAGATTAGAACGGTGGGCAGACAAATGTGAATGACAGTTCAGCTTCACTTTAGCTACTATCTAATCATTTACTAATACTAGGCGACACGAATGAAATGTCAACATGCACCCTCAGTGAGGTTGAAAAGTTCATGATTGAGGCCGATTTGAAGCAACAGAGAGCAGCATGCTCAGACTGACTAACACTCGAGATCTTTAAGGACGTTATTTCAGTTTCAGGTGTTAGATTGACTGAGGTATAAGTTAGACTTAAAATTCGATCCAATTTCATCTGACTAGTCGCAATAGCATGTCACTCCAGTAAAAAATAAAGGACAAAAATCGTCTTGTGATTACTACAGGAGAGTACGTCTACCTAATATATGGTCTAAAGTACAGGCCTTGATAATAATAATAATAAAACGATTAACTAGAGTTCGTGAACAGCAAACACGAGAAAAGCGGGCGGATTTTACACCTGGATGTGTCGATCAAATATCAGCCCTCCATTAGGTCCTAGATCACAGATGCACCTACTGATTCAAAACCATAAGTGTATTTCCTGAACTTGAGTCTGCGTTAATGTCTACCTTAACGCCCGAACTAATGACATGGAGAGAAATAGTTCAGTATGTCAGTCACTACCCTTATCTAATCAACCCTGGTGGGTTTACATCTGATGGAATTTTAGCATAGATTCAGAAAGAGGTTGGCTTTTGCTAACTCGTATCACTGGTGGCGTAGGCGAGATATCCGTCTTTCAACTAGCGTACTAGTATATTGTATGACAGTTCGTCCTATTCTAATTTATGACTGGAACGTGGCTCTTAAAAATAGGGCATATTTACGGGTTACTGCTATTTCATGATAGATGTCTTCAAAGTATTATTCGAACATATCGCAACTATTGACTTAGCAATTCTGAGATTCAAGGAAAGGTAATAGGTAAATATGGACAAAATCAGTTGGTAATGTAGCGTATCATCAATCAAGGTGATCGTGGCATGCATTACGTATGACTATCCTGGCCCCCGAATGCCCTGGTACGGCCGAGGGTGGGGACCTATTGTTGGTCACAGGCTACCATGGGACTGCATCTTCTAACGTTGCTCCACTGTCTTGTGAATCAGACCTTTAGGCCAAATGCTCCGGGTGTGGTCTCCTAAGAGAACCACTTGCTTTGGTTTGGGCACCCGGGCAGTATCACAACCTTAACACAAATCAATGATAACTGCTACTGACCTCATTGTTATTGTGTGGCGCACAACTATTTGGTGCTATCTTGTACCAATGTTTATGTATTCAAATAAATAAATATGACAATCCACCGTACACATAGTTATGCAAAGTTTGGTATATGAGTAAGTTGGAAGAACACTAGTGAATCCCTAAACAAGACGTAGTATCAGTTGATAAAGCTACTGACTGTTGGAGTGATGCGTGTAGGTAGGTCCAAACTAACTATTTCAAGACTAGGTGATCACCGCAACCAATAGTTACAGATTTTGAGTGACATCGTTTAGCATCGTTCGCGAAGCCCCAGATTCATCCACCTTTTTATTTCTCTCCGAACTCAAATCCCCAAATTATCTTATAAGTTTAATTTTAAATACTAAACCATATTTTCTTCTTGAATTACATGTTTTATGTCTAATCTTATCTATCCACAACAATAATGTTACTACATCTACGACTCTGAAATTCGCCTTGAACATTTGATGAGGTCATGAATCTTCATCGAGTGAGATGGTTGGGCCACGTGTTACGTATGCCTGAACGCTGATTACCACGACGCGCAATGATGACTAGTATTGAGGATGGTTGGAAGAAAGTTAGGGGCGACCAAACCAAAATGTGGCATCAGAGCTTGAAGTCATTAACATCTAGTCTGAGCCATGTTGGTAGATGCAAAATACATGGTTGCGGTCCGCGCGACTATCGTAACCAATGGTTGGAGACTCTAGCTGACATGGCTCAGAATCTATCACAATCACGAAGGCGCATACACTCTTTATCTTCCTTTAAACTATGAGATTAAAATTGCTTCATATCTGTCTCTCTTCCTGTACTATATCCTTATATACAACCTATCTATTATATATTACCATTATTAAATTAACTACTATGAATTTGGTGTTCATCTTGATGTACTAATGAGATATGGCAATTTGGACCGATGCATATATGTGTCTGATCCTACTTTGTAGCTGACTGACTGATATTTCGAGGGCAGAAATTCAAAAAGTGACATAAAAACTTCATTAACTGTTGAGACACTTCATGCCGAAAATAACCATCGCAAGAAATATGCAGGTTCATCCTTATTTGGATATGTTTTGTATTGACTAAAAAGTCTCCCGACCGTTGCAGCTACCTTGACGTGGTGGTCGGGCTTGCCCATCGTGATGAAGCAATCGGGCTATGCTGGCTGAAACAATCATTCCTCGAGGTCCTACCATGCCAGACAGGTCGGTTGAAGAGCGGTGAGACTAAAAGCAGCAATCCCAAGGTCCGAAG